ATCCTGAAGAATTCTAGGACACTTCCCTTGCTTAGCAGATAAATATGGTAAGTGTCCATAAGAAATACCTTGTTAGAGCATCCAGAAAGGACACATAAGCTGTGTTAAACCCCATTCAATTTTCAACGACCATTTCCAGTTTAAGTTCACCTCCTCCTTGAAGCTATCCACTAACATGTAACCAATTCATTCTCAATCATCTTGCTCTCGGGGGAGCATTTTCCACACAGCACTCAACATACTGTACTGACCAGTCCTTTACTTTCACACTTGTGCTTATTTCCTCCATTGCAACTCCCTGAAGACTACAAATATGTCCTATTGGGTTGAAAAATAAGTTCGAGAGAAATAAAAAGAGGTTTCCAAAGTGGTGAAGGAGTTCTACCTGGAGCTCATTTTGCTCCACAAACACATCAAGAATACATGACCAGGTGGATCAGCTATCTACAGGAACAGGCAGAGCACCAGCTGATCACTAGCAGAAGACCTCGGATACTGGAAAAGACAAGAGGGGTCACTGCGTTACCAGGTAGGATGAAGAAAGACGGGAAAAGTGGAGAGGACACGGGACAGGACCTGTGCCCTGGTGGGGAGGCGAAGACGGGCAGAAGTCTCATCTGGGGATGCCCCGTAACTGACAGGACAACAGACACAGGTGGAGCATCCGAGGTGTGGAGAAGGGGGAAACAGCGGGCCTGTGGCAGACAGACAGAGACCACACAGACGGCTGGGGCTACAGCCCTGTGCACCCAGACTGGGACGAGTCCCCATCAGTGTGCGCGGGGGCTGATAGCCGGAACATGGAGACAAGAGAGCAAAGCTGGGGAGAGGACTGCTGTTGGCTCTGAGGAGACAGCCTGAGGGGACGGAGGGAGGAAATCTGTCCCTGGGAAAGCAACTCAGACTGCCACAGGTGCAAGGCACCACTGCTGAGTGGTAAGCAGGGGTGGGAGCCGCCAGCACACCCTCTTCTTTCCCCGTGTGCTGACCCCTGCCGGCCGATGGGTTGGGAAGGGTCCCAGCCAGGGCAGGCCCTAGCGCACCTCTCGCTGGCCACTAGGAAAGGCCCCCAACAGTGGGCCCACGCATGCCCACAGCCAAATGCCAGGAAAGGCTCTCACTAGGGCTGATCTTGTGCCAGCCATCTGCCACACCCACGACTGTAAGCTTCCCTGCTCTTCTCATCACTGAAGGGCTGGCTCTCTCGGGCCACCAACTCCTCCGCTCACTTGCTGATGCTGAGACGTGGATCCCAGCAGCCGTGCCACCTCCACACCTGTCCTCACCAGGCCAGACCCAAGAGCTCTCAGGCAACCTCGGGAGCAACTCCTGTGTGTGGCCAACACTCAGAGGGGGTGGCGAAAACCACAGCTGAGCCCCAGGGGTCTGGTGACTAAGGAGTAAAAACCTCTCCGTGCAGCTGCACAAGATGTAGATTAAATCTGTGCTGCCAGCTTGCTAAACCCAGCGTCGATGGAACATCCAAACAGACAGTGACGGTTC